AGCTCAGCATTTCTGTAAGCACGCACTGCGATGCGCCTAAGCTTCAGTAGCTCACCTCAACTCATATCGTAAGGACGTGACCCTAACGTTTATCATACATAAACGCCGTCCCTTTCTCATTCACTCCTAGACAGTGAGACTTACGGTTGATATACACTCAGGAATTATATCTACAACCTTTTATAATAAAACAAAGGAACTACCGTTTGGGTTTCGTTACTTAAAACCCAAATATAAATATGTGTGAACGGACTGGTTAATTGGTTAAGCAGCCGATTCACTGCAGCATACAGTTCATGTGCGTACTCCTTAACAGAGCGCGTGTCCACCGCCATGTTCCGTCGCGCCTGACGCACCAAGTAGCTCACAAGTAATTTTTCCGTCTTGAGAAGCACCTGGTTGTGGAAATACTTGATCATAGAAGCACCTGTAGACTTTGTGATGTTCATGTGCTCCTTTATCTTGGCTGCATCCTTCTTTATCGTCCGGATCGTAGATTCGTTTACACCATGCTGGCGCGCCAAATCAACCTGTCTTGTTCCTTTCTCCAACACTTGAATGATCTTGCACTTCACCTCGTAGCTTAAGGAACGTCGTGTCTTCTTTGGCTTAGGGCGGCTGGGTCCAGGTAAGGAAAGGTTTCTCTCTGGGGGCGGTTGTCCGGCGGAAGCCATTTTACAGAACAATGGATGCACGATTACACGGTGTGGCCTGGAGGGATGAAACTGCCGCGGCTAGGTCAAGCGTCGTCTTTCCTCCCTCCCTCCCTCCCCCGGGTGGACACGTCATATTACTTTAAACCAATTACAGCTAGCAGCGGAGGGAGGTTGGGATGCATGGCCAATCACAGTCCGGTACGTCATATGACGTCACTGATAACGCAACAGAGACATGCACTGCGCAACCTTACCGCGCGGCTTGTCCAGGCGGAGGCGGGAGGGGCGAATCTAAAAATAGCGTCGAGCCAGACACTCCGCGTAAAGGGGTACACGCACCGCGGAATGTGAGCGTCCCGGTTTCGGCAGGGTAACGCGTAAACGTGGAAACGCGGAATGTGGGACCGCGTAAAGTGAGGGTTGACTGTATAGTGAAGTCTCTGGTGCACTCTAAGATTAAGAGAGAAAACGGAGGACTCAGGCGTCCTGATGTGACAGAAAACGGACTCGTATGATGGGGGACCAAATAAAAAAAAGCCTAGCTACATGTTTTGTGGACTACAGTATTAAGCGTACCCTTTTCATCACTTTGTAATAAACCTAGCCATCCCTATGTGTGTTTATGATATTTACCATAGCATGATATATATATTTAGTGGGTATAAATGGTCGTAAAATGGGAAACTTGGGGTTGGGTCTTGGGTGTCTGGAACCAATTAGAATAAATCACATAGGTTCTGTACTTTCGTTATCGGCGGGGTCCCAATTAGGCGCGATAACCAAGGGATGACTGTACTGTACTGTATATACTTGTGACACTGGCCAGTTGCTTCTGGTGTTATTGCACAGGGGTACCAAGTGACAGCACTAGGATCCCGCTTTCTCTATCAAGGAATAAACAATTAAAATTTAAATTGAAAAAACAAAAACATTCAAATAATGGGACGTGGCGAACCTAAATGGCCCTAGAGCGGGCACAGTCACGGATGCATCGCATATTCTTATAGATTGTGCTGCCAGGCGTACTTTATCTAGTAAATTTAGTCAATATTGTACAGTAACAATTTACCCAAGTGCAAACCTGTATTGTACATGTACTAAGTGATTACGGTACTAAAATAGTTATGTCTATTGCAAATGTAGCTTGTTTGTACAGGTATTCAAATAAATTTCTATCTTACAAGAATCCAAGCTATGTAAGTTATATTCACCCAGGTCGTTTGGGTGGCAAATTATGAGAAGAGCTTAGTCACTCTTAAGCAATGATAAATAAACATCCAGGCCTTCAGTGCCAACTGTCAAATCTTATTTCAAATAAATAAAGACACTCTGTCACCTCACCTCACGCTCAGCTGGCTACCTCCCTCCTTGTGTTCCCAGACAAAAGATTGGTGATTTCTTTGTTTATTTTATATAATATCTCAGACTAACGTTAGGATAATATATTTTGCATTGCTGAAATCCTTGCAAGACAGAGATTGATTTAAATATAAGCGTCATATATTTTGCTCAAGATGTAAACAATGTAGTACATTAGTGTCCAATACTGTAGTACATTTATAATAAAAAAAATTTCAACTGTATTTTTGGGTAGATTTACATAAATTTCTTCATTTATTTTCATCCATTTACATGCACACACCATACTAAAAGAAACGTAATAGAAATAAATGACCTTAGTGCAAAGCTGGAGTGCACACATACTAATTTGATTACGGTACTAAAATTGTTATGTCTAGTGCGAATTAATGCATGTTTATATTCAAATAAATCAGTATCTTACAAGGATCCCAGCAATGTTAATTATATTCTCCTAGGTCATTTCACTGGCATTTTAAAATGAGAGAAGCTTAGTAGGACTGTTAAATAAACACACAGGAGACCTTCGGCTCACGCGGTCAAACATATCACCTCAACCCCCCCCCTCCACCCCTCGCTGGCTGGCCGTCCCTCCCAGCCAGGGTTTTAGGCTTACAGTTTTTATCTTATATAATATCTCGACTAAAGTTAGGAGATTATATTTGCATTGCTGGTATTCTTGCAAGACAGCCAATAATTATAATATAAACGTCATATATTTTGCTCGAGATAAAAAAATTTGTACATTAGTGTACAGTCTGTAGTTCATTTATAATAAAAAAATTATTAACTGAATTTTTGGGTAGATTTACATACATTTCGTCATTTAATTTCATCCATTTACATGCACACACCATACTAAAAGAAACGTAAAAGAAATAAATGACCTTAGTGCAAAGCTGGAGTGCACATGTACTAATTTGATTACGGTACTAAAATTGTTATGTCTTGTGCAAATTATAGCATGTTTATATTCAAATTAATCAGTATCTTACAAGAATCCCAGCTATGTTAATTATATTCACCCAAGTCATGTCACTGGGTTTTTATAAGAGAGAAGCTTAGTCACTTAAGAAATGATAAATATACAGGTACATGCGTTAGACCTTGGGCCGGTGCCAACTGTCAAACGTACTACCTCCCCTCCCCCCACGCCCCCTCGCTCGCTCCCTCCCTGTCTCTCCCCCATCTGCCCGGCGTTGCTGGAATCCTTGTAAAACAGTGAATAATTTTAAAATAAACGTCATGTATTTTGCACAAGAGATAAAAATTAATTTCCTGTATCACATTACAGTAGTGATTTAAGAGTAAAAGTGTATATGTACGTATATAGTATTCCACATACACGTAAGTATAAATACAAAGTTTCTCTGATGATCGGACAACGTCCATTTCGGTTAACGTCATGTTTCCAAGAACGTATCTAGGACGTTAACCGGCGCATGACTGTGTATATATATATATATATATATATATATATATATATATATATATATATATATATATATATATATATATATATATATATATATATATATATATATATATATATATATATATATATATATATATATATATATATATATATATATATATATATATATATATATATATATATATATATATATATATATATATATATATATATATATATATATATATATAAAATATATATACAGTGGGGTATGCTATAACGAACGGATCCTACTACGAATATTCCTATAACGAACGGTTTTACCTATAAAATTGAGAATGCTATAACGAACAAAACTCCTACAACGAACATTATTTAAAAATTTTTTTTTTTTTTTTTACTAATTTATTGTTTTTTTATTACAAGTATTAATGATATTCTTTATTTCAGGGGTTTAGATGCATATGTATGTACTTTTTTACAATTTTTAAAATTTTTTATTATATTTATCAGTGTTAAGTGGTTGTATTTGGGGGCCTGGAACGGATTAATCCTATAACGAACGAATGCTATAACGAACAAGGTTCTAGAACCAATTAGATTCATTATAGCATGCCCTACTGTGTATATATATATATATATATATATATATATATATATATATATATATATATATATATATATATATATATATATATATATATATATATATATATATATATATATATATATATATATATATTGATTGATTGATTGATTGATTGATTGATTGATTTAAGGGCGATTTAGGGGAATTTTAGGAGTGTCTGACTTTATGCATTTTTTATTTTACTTTGTATGTACTTTTCTGTGACCTGGAACCAATTACCCATTGAAATAATGGATTCGGGTGACGAAATTTTCGGTTAGCAAACGACCTTCTGGAACGAATTGTGTTCGTTAACTGAGAGACCACTGTACAGACAAAGATTTGAATCAAGGATTGAGGTATTAAAAAGTGAGTTGGATTAAATATTATGAAAGGTATTTCTTGTAAAATAAGTGATGGAACTCTGAATTGGGGTGAACAAACTATGAGTGTATTGTTGTAAGATTAGTGGGAGGACAGTAGGTGTAAGATAAGGAGTGTGTTTAGTGTGTAGAATTCAGAAGTGGATAAATTTGCAGAGCTATGGTGAGCTTGTGATTGCATGTCTCTACTGTGCTGTAGGGAGAGCATGACTAGGCTCTGTGGTACAGCAGAAAACATATGGTGAGATTCTGATGTGTTCTTGGTACTGTACTTGCCATCATGTTCCAGAACTTGCAAGTGTGAAAAAAACAATTTAATTGTTGTCACCGCTGATAGCTGTACAGTACTGTATATGTCTGTTTTGGTGAATAGAGTGCTGTGGCCTTGCATGATGTTGTCTTGAGATAAAAGTGTTAAATGTTGGTATAAATATTTGATAAAACATCTATAAAGGATAATGTTACTTTAAATATTCTCTAACTGGACCCCTTGGTGAAGCTCATCTGGGCCACCTGCCATAGGATATTTTATATAAAAAGGGTATTGTTTATTTTTTCAGAAACGTGATCAGTATACGTTGACTTTAATATCTCGAAGAAGTCGGTATCGGGCCGGCACCAGGTACAAGAGACGGGGAGTTGATGAGGACGGCCATGTAGCAAACTATGTTGAGACTGAACAAATAGTATCATATTCCCATCACCGGGTTGCCTTTGTTCAGGTGAGTTTCTCTTATGATTGATACAGTACAGTATGTGTGTGTTAGGGCTCCCACTATACTGCCCATTCTGGGGTCACTAATCCTAAGGGGATAACTTAACTCTACTCTTAATTTTAAGGTCGCAGCCACCAGACCCCTTGGACAGTATGAAGCTTTTTAGGTAGCTGGCAGAGTAAGCCAGGCACGGATGTATGTTTGCATTCATCAAACCAAAGGTTGGAGTAAGGGTGAAACATCAATTATGACTTAACTACTTTATTTCTTAATAAAAAAAATACGGCTTTCAGTCACAATACAAAAATAGTTGACCTTCATCAAAATAAGTACAGTGAACCCTCACTTTACACAGTCAATTGAACCCACGGAGGCCTGCGTAAAGCGAGAAACGCGTAAAGTGAACAACATAACATATGGGATTAATTGAAATAGAGACCGGGCCGACCCCCAAACTCCACTTTTTCCCGACACAATACCTATGTTCTAGTAAAAATAACATCTTAATTTTATGATGGTACACGCACACAATTAATACTGTATTTAAGAGAAATAGAGAAATACAGTTGCCAAGTTAATGTCCATTCAAATAATGGACTCAACTTCCTCCCCCTCTTCTCACACTTGCTGGCTCTTCCCTCTCTCAGAAATGTTTGGGGGAAAACCACTAGATTTTAAGGTATAGTAATAAATAATACTTCAAACTAAAGTTAGGATAATATAATTGACATTGCTGGATTCCTTGTAAGACCAGGAATATTTTGAATATAAATGTCATATATTTTGCATAAAAGATAACATACTGTATTTACTCAGAGTAAACAATATACTTGCATTAGATCTAAAATTTGTATGCCAAATGCAAAATCTATGATGTTTATATTCAAAATGATCATCAAATTGTAAGAATTCCAGCAATGTAAATTATATTCTGGCCGGGTAATTTGTATGAATTTTATGAGCTAAAACAAATATCTTCAGTTAATAAACAAAATATACTTACCCAAATACTATCTGTCAATCAAAATACCCCACTTCCCCCCCTCTTCCCACCTGCTCCCTGGGTCCCTCCCTCCTCCTACCCCCTACCAGAGAAATGTTTGGGTTATAACAGTGTATTTACATTTTTAGTAATAAATAATACCTCCGACTAAAGTTAGGATAATATAATTGACATTGCTGGATTCCTTGTAAGACCAGGAATATTTTGAATATACACGTCATATATTTTGCACAAAAGAAAACATATTTACTCTGAGTAAACAATATACAGTTAACCCTCACTTTACGCGGTTAATGTAACCCGGAGGGTACCGTGGAAAGCGAGAAACGCGTAAAGTGAATAACATAACATATGGGATTAATTGAAATGGAGTCCAGGCCGATCCCCAAACTCCACTTTTTGACGACACATAACTATGTTGTAGTAAAAATAACATCTTAATTTTATGATGGTACATGCACACAATTAATACTTAAGAGAAATAGAGAAATACAGTCGCCAAGTTAATGTCCATTCAAATAATGGACACGACTCCCTCCCCCTCTCACACTACACTGCCGGCTCTTCCCTCTGAGAAATTTGGGGGGGAAAACCAGGTATAGTAATAAATAATTCCTCAAACTAAAGTTAGGATAATATAATTGACATTGCTGGATTCCTTGTAAGACCAGGAATATTTTGAATATAAATGTCATATATTTTTCACAAAAGATAACATATTTACTCAGATTAAACATTACATCTAAAATTTGTATGTCTAATGCAAAATCTATGATGTTTATATTCAAAATGATCATCAAATTGTAAGAATTCCAGCAATGTAAATTATATTCTGGCCGGGTAATTTGTATCTCCCCCCCTCTTCCAACCGCGCGGTCAGTCCCAACCCTCCCCCCCACCCCCCACCAATCCTCCCTTCAAGAGAAAGAGTGGGTGAAAAATTTTTTTTTTTAACATTTTGTATTAAATAATACCTCAGATTAAAGTTAGGATAATATAATTGACATTGCTGGATTCCTTGTAAGACCAGGAATATTTTGAGTATAAACGTCATATATTTTGCACAAAAGATAACATACTTACTCAGAGTGAACATTATATCTAAAAATTTTATGTCTAATGCAAAATATATGATGTTTATATTCAAAATGATCATCAAATTGTAAGAATTCCAGCAATGTAAATTATATTCTGGCCGGGTAATTTGTATGAATTTTATGAGCTAAAATAAAGATCTTCAGTTAATAAAAAAAAAAATATTCTTCACACGGTAGTAGATGGTCGGTCGCCGGTCCCTCCTTCCCTCCCCCCCACCCCCCCACCAACGTCCCTACTAGATAAATGTGTGGGAATACCAGACTGTTTACCTTTTTAGTAATAAATAATAAATCAGACTAAAGTTAGGATAATATAATTGACATTGCTGGATTCCTTGTGAGACCAGGAATATTTTGAATATATATATCATATATTTTGCACAAAAGATAACATATTTACTCAAGAGTAAACATTATATCTAAAATTTGTATGTCTAATGCAAAATCTATGATGTTTATATTCAAAATGATCATCAAATTGTAAGAATTCCAGCAATGTAAATTATATTCTGGCCGGATAATTTGTATGAATTTTATGAGCTAAATAAAAAAATTATACTTCACCCGTGTAAAGGGGTACACCCACCGCGGAATGTGAGCATCCTGGGTTCTGGCAGGGCACCGCGTAAACGTGGAAACGCGGAATGTGGGACCGCGTAAAGTGAGGGTTGACTGTACTTGCATTAGATCTAAAATTTGTATGTCTAATGCAAAATCTATGTTGCTTATATTCAAAATGATCATCAAATTGTAAGAATTCCAGCAATGTAAATTATATTCTGGCCGGGTAATTTGTATGAATTTTATGAGCTAAATAAAAAAATTATACTTCACCCGCGTATATGAGTAGATGCACCGCGTAAAGTGGGAATTCCTGTTTTGGCAGGGTACTGCGTAAATGTAGAAACGCGTAAAAAACCCCGCGTAAAGCGAGGGTTCACTGTACTAGTAAGGTCATTACATTTCACATCCAATACACGACCTCCAAATTAACTAATTAAAATCTTCATCCTTCATAACAAATTATTGACCTCCTTACCTCGGGCATTATTTCTTACCATATCACCCAACACATCAGATACAGTGGTCCCTCGGTTAACGAAATTTCGGTTAACGAACTGCCTCCCATAAGATTCTTAAATTCGGTTAACGAATAAATATTCAGTTAACGAATTTCTTACAAACCGACCTCAACATGTTTTCGCTTACACTGGCCGGTCAACCAGCTTTAGTATTAGTCCGCCAATACATTAATCGGTTCTAGGGCTTAAATTCCTTACTATTTTAGTAAATATCAAGAAGTTTATACTATTCAATAATTTTAAAAGTTTAATATTCAATTTTTTAGTCATTTTATCAATTATTGAACGTAATTGAAGTTAAAGTGACTAGTTTAATGCGCGGCATCCAGCCTCTTAACACAGCAAACAGGCGTTAGTCTCTCTGTTTTCACTGGAGATAACATCTTGCTTGAGACTCTCTTCAACTAAACGCTTTTTTTCTGTGTTTCCAAGCAAATTATTGGTCATTTTGAAATATATTTTACATATTGACAATATATAATGCAGTGCAGTGTTGATTTAAAGAAAATAATCTTGAAATACACCAAGAGAAGTAAAATTTTATGGGTGAAATGGTGCCATGGGGTGACTTCTCTTCCACCCGAATCCCTTCTCTTCTTCCTTGTCCTCCACCCCCATTCTAATTCCCATCATCATCATCATCATCATCCAGGAGCCTTCTACATACACACCTCAAAGTAAGTGAACTTTTCTACCATTTTTGTTGAATTTAGGCAATTTTCGGTGAGCTGGAACCAATTACCCAAAAACCCATTGAAACAATGGTTTCGGTTAACGAGCTTTTCGGTTGACGAACGACCTTCTGGAACGGATTGAGTTCGTTAACTGAGGGGTCACTGTATTTATAATATACTGTAACATATTAAACACAATGCAAGTATATTTATACGCTTGCTTCGCACGAGATGATCGGTGGTGGGAGTGTTCCCTCGTCTCGGTGGTGGGACTGTGTTCCGACTGTTTATACAATAGCTACCACCGTATTCTAATTGTGGTGTTTCATTAGGATTTGAGTGAAAAAGATTACGTACTTACTACATACATTTTACACAAACATACATATATATATATATATATATATACTGTGTATATATATATATATATATATATATATATATATATATATATATATATATATATATATATATATATATATATATATATATATATATATATATATACTATATATATATATATATATATATATATATATATATATATATATATATATATATATATATATATATATATATATATATATATATATATATATATATATATATATATATATATATATATATATATATATATATATATATATATATATATATATATATTATATATATATATATATATATATATATATATATATATATATATATATATATATATATATATATATATATATATATATATATATATATATATATATATACACAGTAATACCCCGCTTAACACGGTTTTGCTTAGCGCGATTTCACGTATACGGGGTGCCTCGCCAGAGCTGAACTTTCACTTAACGTGGGTTTTTTCCACGTATACTCTTACAAATTACCCGCCTGCCTGAGAATATAAAATTACCCGGCCAGAATATAATTTACATTGCTGGAATTCTTACAATATGATGATCATTTTGAATATAAACATCATAGATTTTGCATTAGACATACAAATTTTAGATATAATGTTTACTCTGAGTAAATATGTTATTTTTTGTGCAAAATATATGACATTTGTATTCAAAATATTCCTGGTCTTACAAGGAATCCAGCAATGTCAATTATATTATCCTAACTTTAGTTTGAGGTATTATTTATTACTAAA